ATGTGAAAGACTGTGCCACCTCATCCAAATCAGTGAGAAACGAAAATCAAGTCTGTGCATAAAGAGTGAATTGTCACTTCCAGGAATTCCAGCTTAGCCCTTTATAAGCAGCAAACCTCTGTAAGACGTAGAAGTTCATTACTGGCACAGTACTGATAGTATTAAATGAATCACTAGCGGCCAATTAGTAGTGATGCCTCATATTGCTAGTCTGACTTCCGTAGAAACATGTATTTTAATGTATTCACCTTAAGAAATCTTAGATGGGAAGGTCTAAACAAGGATTGCAGTAAGTTTTGACTGTGTTTTGGCTTTTGCAGTTTTAGACAGGCTTCTCCTCACAACTAATGGTCTTTTAATAAATACTGTAACTTTTATAGTCAATCTAACAGATTCACCATCAAAATGTTTATCCTAATGCTACCTTCTTATTCAACATATGGAATATGGAACGGGCTGCCCAGGGGAGTGGTTGAGTCCCCATCCCTGGAAGTATTTAAAAGACAGGCAGACGAGGTGCTTAGGGACATGGTTTAGTGGTGAACTTGGCAGTGCTAGGTTTGCAGTTGGACTCTATGATCTCAAGGGTCTTTTCCAATCTAAATGATTCTACAATTCTATATTAAAAGTGTATTTGCTCCTACAAGGGTATCAATATATCCTGGTATGAAGAGAGTGCTGTTTTCCTTAGCTAAATTCATGCTCTTTAGCTTTTGAACAGTCCAATATAGTTGCACGTTACAGTTGCCATTTCTTGGTTACAAACCCATGCCTCAGTCTTGCAGACAAACATGTAAAGAGTTTTCCTAGAAAAATCTTATTAGAATTTGACATAGTTTGAGTTTAGATACCCTGCTTTTTCTCGTTTCTTACTGCTTTTTTTTTCTTTTTTTTTTTAAATTTTATTTTAACCTTTTAAAAAAAAAAAAAAAAAATAGCTTTTCCTGCTTTTGGCCTGAAAGAATTCCTGACTGAAGCAACCTGACGTATCTGTTCAGGGAGCCTTTAGGCTGTCACACAACTGTGCCAAATCTGCTTGAGTGAATAGAAGTGCTTTTTTTTTTCCCCTACTTTTCTTTTGGGTGTTTTCCAGCTTCCAAGAGATCAGTACAATTGACTGTATACATACATCAAATACATGAAAAGACAAAAAAAAAAAAACAAAAAAACAACCAGAAGTATTCCCCCTAATAAATTTTTCAGCACATTCACAAAAAAAAAAAAAAGCTTTCTGCTTTATAGTTTTTCTACAAAAAATGTTTTAAATTCATTATCAACCACTTTTCTGCATATTCCTATGCCATATATAAGTTTGCAAACTCTACCAACTTTGACTGAGGAAGCTGAGCAATAGCATACTTTATTGAGAAGCTCTGAACTATGGAAACCTGCACCAAATTTAAGAGTTTGAGGAGGGAGGTTTTAACCAGAATTACATTAGTATAGTATTAGAAAATAGTAGCATAAAATATTAATGAGGCAGGAACTCAGGCAGGTATAATTATTACCTTCCTTAACCCAAACCGAGAATAATTATGATTTATTTGCGATACTCTTCTCTCATTAGAGGTAGTCATTGCATCCTATATTTACTTCAAATGCTCCAGTACAAATAAAATGACTGTTCTACTTAATTCTATTCAAGTGATATAAAGAATCCTGTGTCACCATTCAACTATACAAAACTTTGATTCTTCTATACTTAATATTGTCTTTGGAAATGAGGATTTATTGAAGGATAATCCCAGGGAAGCAGAGTAAATTAAGAATGAGAAGATAATGCTAAAAAAACCCCCAAGCAAATAAAAAACACAATCAAAAAAAAAATATATTGTCATATGTTTAGTTCTGGATGCTGATGTTCTTGAAGCTAACGAGCCTATCTTCTGTAAGGATGCACTACACTGCGCCTAAAATTTTACCTTTAATAACCGCTTATGCAAGGAAATTCCAGCAAAAGTTATTTTACCTCCCTAGGCAAGAATGAGCACAGTAAATATGCACAGAGTGGTCATCTTGATTCCAGCTGAACTCACATGTCCCGTTTCTGCACACATGTAATAAAAGCACTGAAGTAGCGAGAAACCTTCTGTGTTCGACCTTGCGTGCTAGGAGGACGAAAGGCAAAAGAGCACAGCATGCTGCAGGGAGCTCATTTTGGGGAACATCACATAAACAGAGCACTCGGGGAGCTCTACCTGTCTCTTCACAGCATGGAAAGATCAGAAGCACAAAGCACTTCAAAAATGCTGAGTTTCTACGGTCAGCGAAGGATGTCTGGCTATTACCAAGCAATATGTTTTCATCAAGTTTATCCCTTTTCAGTCACGGATAGAAAAATCCCAGCCTGAGCTACAGTATGTCTATAAACAAACAACAAATCGGACCTTTGGGAGCCTTCATTATTTTTTCCTGTATCCCAAGTCAAGCTAAACAAGAAGTGAGTGTCCTCTTCAGACGGACTTGATCGGAACACAGCATGACAAGATGGGCTCTGTGGAGACAACAGTACTGTCCCACAACAGCCAGCACCAGCAGAACAAGGTGAGCGACGTAGGACCATCAAACACCTCTCCCCACAATTTATGGGAGTCAAAAGCAGTAGCATACAAATGAATGCTCCAAGTGACACCAAGATACTGGTTTCCTGGATCATGCTCATGAGCCATGCTTCTATGAAAGTAACCAGAACCCTCATGGGAGGTAGCCCAGAGGGGGGAACGCTGTTGAGCACTTTGGCAGAAGAAAAACTGCCTGAGACATCCTCAGACAGTGTTGCCATAGGGCCTGTACAAACACCCAAGGATTCGCTTTCAAAGCAGGTGCCAGGGAGCAGCAAGGGCACCACGGACTCAGGCTGAACTCCTAGAAGTTGGGAGTGTGCTTGTGGCCCTGGCAGCAGGGACAACGGTGGGGTAAAGGCAAACATCAACCCCCCCGAGCCCAACACGCACATTTTGCACGCTACCTGGTCACAGCGGTACTTGCAGAATCGCTTGGGTTTAGTCTTAGACATTACATGGCCTAATGTGAGACCTGTCTCCCTTCAGATGAATGCCCCTAAACTATCCAGTGCAAGAAGGAGGTCTGCTGCACTGCACACGCTTCTCCTAGCATAGTACCTCTTATGCAGCCTGCGGAAATTCATTTTTCTTATCCTGTGCACCAATATACATCAGTGCACATGCACGTT